ATTGACGCCATAAACCAGAATGCATTGCGGGTGAATAGAGTTTGGGCTTCCTGTGTAAACAAAATTGACCTTGGGGACGAGGTTGTTTAGCACGTTGTTTTCATCTTGGACTCCATAATCATGTCGGTGAAGCGTAAAGTCGAGWGGAACAATTACAAGGAAAAAGCAAGTAAGAAGCGAACTGGAAAGAATAAACAAGAAGAGTCAGATGAGTTCATTACCGTGCAACGACTAAGTTCAAATGTTGAAGCTCGTTGCCAGAAGTGTTCGAGAAATGGACCACTGACAATGGTGCCTATAGGTCAAGAACGGTCTCTTGAAGACATAAAACGAGCATGCAAAGAGCACTTCAAGTCAGAACTTGACTGTGACGTTCTGGCTGGAGAAAGAGGCCCTTCTCACACTGAAGCATCCCAAATAAAGAACTGGAAAGTTATTCATGTGCTTTTTGTTGAGCGCGAGCCAGAGGTCCATACTAAGGCAAGCCATCAAAGCCATACGACAACGATATCACAACTTACAAAGAGTGCTCCATTGAKTACAGTAAATAGAGCCCGGGATAGAGCTATACCGGCTTCAACTGTTGCAGCTTCTATTCCTCTGAGTGAGATGTTAAAGCTTGGGAAGCTGATTGTACCAAAGGTAGAAGTCATTACTTTTTTAGTTTTGCATCTCAAGGAGGGAATGACTTGCACCAGTCGAAGTCAAACTATCTGTAGAGAAAGAGCCGTTCGTCAGTGGCGGCTTTTGACATGCTTTTTTGGCAACGGTCATCAGTGGACTTCCTCGTGCAAAGTATGTATTGAARAAATACAGAGCCGAAAAAGTACATGATATCGAGATCCTATTCCAGTCATCSATCAGTCATACAAGAAAGATCGTTCAGATGAACGCACTAGCGAGGAACTTCRCACAGAATATGGATTTGGAGAGACCAGTTCTCGAATTTGGCCARTCATTTACATACACGAAAGTGTATTTTGCGTGTCTAAACGGAGAGCCAGTGACACTAGAAGAATTCATCGATTGGCCCAATGAGTTTGAAAAGTTCATATTAATGATGGTTCCATCTGTGGAGATGAAGTGAGCGAGTTAAGCTTGAAGGCCGAAAGCTTTGTACACTACACCTATGTCAGGTCCAACAAGCAATTGATGGTAGTGGACATACAAGRGATCAAATATCACCTGTGTGATCCAGAAGTCGCAAGTTCTGGCCTACGTGAAGTTGAGGATGATGAGTCGTCTCCAATTTTATTTTGCTGTGGTAATCTGAGCTTGGGTGCTATCCACAGGTTTTTCCTTGAGCATAAATGCAATGAATATTGCAGAATGCTGAAACTCGAAAATGCTTGACTTTGACTATAGTTATGCTCTAACAAAGATATATTATATGATTCATGAACACTGCTGTTACAGCAAATGTTACTGTTTTGCTTATGACTAAGGGATTGACAATTAGATTACAGAGGGGAGGGTTGCAGGAATTTTTGTTGCACCATATTATTTTTTGTCTCAACTTCTGCATGATTTCTTTTTCTAACTTGTTCAACATTTTTTTTATCAGTTGCAAAAGGTTGCTCAATTTATTTTTTAGAGGTTGAAGTGCTTGTTCAATATTTTATTTTTTATTTTTTTGGGGGGGGGGGGGGGCTAATGCAACCTGCAAACCCCCCCCCCCTCCTTCAATATATCCAAACCACCTGACTCTAAATTTCCAGTCTGACTTTGTTGTGTTTTTATAAGGAAGGGACTACAGCCCCAACTTCTCCTTTGTTTTTAATTATCAGTTTGTTACAAAGAATTAGAACATTTCTATTCATCTTTAATGTTTATCTTATGTGAAAATGACAAGATAAAATATCTATATTGAGTACTTACAGGACTCTATACTGCATATCATGCTTTTCTAGACTCCCATTCATAATCATTGTACAATCATTTTTACATTTACATAATCACCAACTTGTAACTATGATTGAGAATGAATAAATTTGTTGATGTAAATTTATTTAGTTGGTTTTTAAAGTAAAATAAGACTTCTAAGACCCAAGGATGAATGATTCTCAAGTGCGGATCCAGGGAGGAGGCAAAAATTGGGGAAGGCTGTAGGCCCCCCTTCTGCTATAAATAACACTAATAAACAAATAGATAGAAAGAAAAATAATGTTCATTATTTTTATAAAGAGTCAAAGTCAGCYCCCTATTTAGATTGAGCCCCCTCTTTCTTTTTGGTTGGATATCAGTCCTTGAAATAACGGCAAGACAAAGGCAGGTCAAGATGACCTTCCACTGCCCAATTCTTGAAAGAACAAGAGCTGCTAGTTAACATCTTCAGAAAAATGGCAGGGCAACTTCTCCTTTCAAAATCGTATTTGGCAGGTCAAGAAGAAAACGTGAGAGGACATTGATCTGCCCTTGTTGCGAGCCCTGATYATGAATAATAAATCATAACTTGCGTGTGTACACAGTAGCAAATAGGTTGTACTTAACAAACAAAAATAAATTAAAAAATGACCCAAGTTTTAAAACAACCTGTTTTCGTCAAAATTGTCTTTAAGATACAAATATGCATTTGCTGCCTGATCAGGCTCAATTTCATCTGTGTTGGGAATATGCCTTGCACACTCTTGACGAAAAGCATCTTCTAAGAAGTCATCTGTATTGTSAAGTGCACAYGAAAGCCCGGCCACTTCTTCCAAGTCTTGATCTGTTATTTGAAAGCCACATTTCTCACCACCATGTTTATCTGGGCACATGTAAATATGTTCAGGAATTCCAATGGGAAGTTCCTTTTGCCTCTGTCTTCTTACTCTGTGGTTATACCAGACAGAAGTTCKGAAGAGATCAAGTTCTTTTTGTATAACAGTTACATAGACATATGCCAACATCATCCTAAAAACAACAATAAAATAATAAAACACAGTCTCGCAGTTAATTATGCACAAATTTGGCCAGGAATTGAACCCAGACCATCAGGCTTGAAGTCCAACGTACACTGACCATTAGACCATCACATCTCTTACACTTGCAGGAATACAATGAAAAAGTTAGTGGCTAGGTAGTTTTTAATACTTTTTTAGTTATGAGCCATTTAGGTATTAATAAAATAAGATTTTGTTCATCAGTTGCGCGAACAACACAAAGGAAAACATAAAATTAACTGAAAATAGTAGGGCAAATAATATATGACCTGTCAGTTTCATCACTTGGATCATAGTCTCCATCTTCTGCAAGAGTGGACAACTGGACTTTTAAAAACTTTTCCATCCATTCAAGTAATTCTCGCCACCATCTTTCGATTTTGTTCTGTGTTGAGGGACCATATATGATACCCTCTGTTGCATCTTCCAAATCACCTTGCTTGCTTCTAAGATAGCTGTGAATGGTAACCATTTCTCCTGTTTCAGTTCCCTTATCTATAAGGGAACTGAACAAATAAAAGAAAATTTATGTGAGTGATAGACAGGTTTATCACAATTTATTATTTTTTTAATCATTATTCCCCCTAAGGGGTGTTCGTGAATGGTCTAGCAGCAATAAACAGCGTTCGTGCTAGAATTTTATTCCAAAAATTAAGCACTTTTTAAGCACTTTTCAAGCACAAAAAAATGATTTTCAAGGACTACATTTGTGACCCTCCACGGGAAAACCCGGCTTAATGAAAAAATCGTTTGAATGCATTTCAACGCATTTTCAATGCATTTAAATGCATTGCAATGGTTTTGTAACGTTGTAGAATGATCTCCCAASGATTGATGTAATTATAGATAACGTTATCCAAACGTTCTGAACGTTGTAATGCATTTCCACAACGTTGTAAATGTTATGCTAAACGTTATCAACGTTGTTATCAACGTTAGAAAGCATTGTGAAATACAATATCAGAGGTCAAGAATGCAAAATAAATATTGCACTCGCAACTCGTTAATAAATTTCAAATTCCATTTCTTTAGAATAATGTCAGGCCTGGGATTATTAACTTTTCCAGCTGCAAAGATGCCAATTTTTATTATAGCCTTTCTAAAAAATTTGAGCTATTAAAAGAAACGAGATTAAACAAGATGAGACGGGTGTAGACGTTACGTCTGGGATTTGTGTTTGCACGTGGGANCTGATCTCATGTTGGCGATAATTGCGGCGAACAAAGTCTTCCAGATCCTCTTTTAATTTCACATCTTCCATCCAATCGGCATTTCTAACACGCGTCGCCATTTTGTTTACACAGGAAGCCCAAACTCTATTCACCCGCAATGCATTCTGGTTTATGRCGTCAATGGGCCATGGACAACTTTTTTTTTTCTATGGCGTTAGTGGGCCATAATAAGAGTTATTTTTTTTTCTTGATGAAGTAAAATAAAAAAAAGAAATAAAAGAATAAAATAAAATTTTTGACAAAAAATGCTATGGCGTTAACGGGCCACCATACAGCTGTACAATTACGAAAATAAATAAATTCATTTTTTATCATTGTGAAGAAGTAGTTAATTGGCAGTATTTGATATGTATCAAAAAGGCTCTCTAACGTGCAGACGGAGGAAAGACGTTGACAGATTAAGAATATTATTATTAATAATATATGTTAAAAATCTAATTATCACATACGTAGTGTATGCAAATATTCTAAAATGATAACAGAACGATTGGTCCTAACATCTTGTCAGCTTCTTAGTTATTGGTTAGAGTGGTTCTCATTAACCCGTGAAATACACTTTAGCGTATTACACTTTATTACACTTTGTCTCTTTCGTTTTCTATTATATTTCTTGGCTATTACACTTTCTCACCAGTATGTGATGCTGGTGGGGGAGCCAGATTAGACGCCAGCCACTCGTCCATGAGACAGGTAGTACTGGGTTGTATGTTACTAGTAGCAGACTTGATGCCTGACCTGAGTAACATATGTATTATTAAATTATCATCAAACAGTTTCCACATGATCTGAAAGAGGCTACTTGAATGAAACTTGTCAAACATTGAAAATGACTTGAAAATTTAGTAGATTAACTTCTATATTGAGTCACACTGTAAAACATAAAATATTTAATGACAAAACAAAACAAGGAAAATCAATATCGATGCGCTCTTTCTCTTCTTTTCCGACACCTAAGAGACTGCAGAAAATGCAAATTTCCAGAAACTCCAAATTAGAACCCTAAAAGATTAAYAATCACGAATTTTTACCCCTAAAAGATCCGACGAGCATCCCCGGTACTCTTCAAACCGGAGTCCCCCCCGGGAAACAACCCACTCATAACGATATCGCTTGTAACAAGTCAGTTGTCAGTTAGTTTTTGTTTCTACATGTAAACCCTATTGGAGACAATAAAGACCCAAGATACATATCAACATCTACCACGAGTAAACCCCAGTGGCTAACAACCACATTGACAAGAAATTTGGTAGAGCGCGTTTTACTAGCGGCAAACCAACTTCTTTCGCAGCAAAATATTT